TCTTTCACTGGAATTTAGCTACCTTGTCAATGTGACTCAAATTTACACTCTCTGTCCTTTGTTCCAGGGAGCTGGCCACTTAAAAAGTTGTTTGATTCTTTTAAATGGCACTTTAAATAAACTAGATGTAATTAGGAATAATTTTTCAAAAGAAATTATTATTTTTGATCTAATAATTTTCTGGTAGTTTGTTAAGAGAGTTATGTTAGTTACAAGTTGCATTATGTATTGGTATCAAATTAACAACACTGGAAGCTAAAAGGCTTTTGATAATATTATAAAAAAGGCAATATCAGAGTAAACTTCAGAGTATCCTGTACAAGAACTGTATCTTAATTGGAAGGAGAAGTAGTAATGCTGTATGATAAGGTTAATGTCCATATGTCCATTCACTTTTCTTAACCTTTATCAAGACTCCCAAGAAAAATAACTTCATAAGAAGTTCTATGATGTGAGCATTTCTCCATTAATATCTGGATGGAGAATTCCCAAGTCAATTCACAGGCAATATATCACAAAACACTTCAGAGGATCAGGTTTTCAAACTCTGCCAACATGGTCAAAGATTCAAATTGAACTCACATCTCACATCCCTGACTTATCAGTTCCCCGAGCCATCTAATATGCATGGAAATTCTGTGTAGCTGGTTTAAAAAAAAGGTATTTGAATTCTCATTTTCTCTCAATTAGAATTAATCTACTTCAGTAAATTAATAAGGTCTCATAAAATGGGATAGTTTGTGTAACTTCTAACACAATTAAATATTATGAAACTCCTGTGTGAGCAAGACCAATGGAGTACAAAATGTCTTCCTGAATTTTATCTTACAACATGTCATATTAACCAGTTATATATTACCCTATACCCTGTAAGAAGTTTTATACAGCAGAAGAGTAATGAAGCTACACAGAAAAGTCTCAACATTTACAGAATAAAGAAATGTGTGAATCTCATGCTGAATTTCAAGAATGGATTCCACTGTAGCCTAAAATAAATAACCATCACATATCTGATACATGTACATAATCAACCTGAAATATTATATATAATCCATCTAGAAAGTTATTAACCTAAAATTCCTCTTCTATGGCCTTATTTGAAACTAAACAAAAATTCTATAAAACCAAATGGTAATCACCTATCTTAACTGACAATATTAAATTACCTCCATCCAGTTTCCTGTATAATTCTACCTGACCTTTTATGAAAGAACATTTCTAGCTGTCTGCTTTTTGCTGGTCTCTTGAGTCCAGTATGAATTTTCTCTTCCCTTAATTACAGATGAAGAACCATAAATCTGAACCTCCATTTCTAGCCCTACAACATAAGGTTAAAAGTACATTCTTCTTGTGATAAAGGTGTTAGAAACACTGGTCAAAACAAACAACAGGCAATAATTCTTGAACTTCTAGGAGTTTGGTCTAAAAGACAAATTATGGAAGTCTGCAAAAAGTTTTTTAAAATAACCTTTTCTTTTTAAACATTGATAAGAAATATCTATATTTGAAAAAATAAAAATAAAAAATACCTGCAACTGAAAAATAAAAACGTTCTGGTTATCAGTTTCCAAGAATATTTCAGGGTAGTCTAAATTCCCTCATTCCTTAACCCTAATGTTTCATTCTCTGACCAGTTTTTTCACTGACAAGTTTACAGAAAGGTTCATTTTCTTTACAGTTTTCAAAATATTCATTAGAAGGAAGTTCTGCAGTAAAACTTACATTGACATTCTTTGCAGCACTTGCCATCCACATACGTCAGGGCGGAGTTAAGCGGGCAGTCAGAGAGGGGACAAATCAAAGCCTCACATTGCACAGTACCATTCTAGAAGAATAAAAGGTGCTTAACTGGAAGTTACATTTAGAAAGAGCAGAGATGTTCTCAAACACAGGAACTTAGAATCTATTTTTAAATTCAATGAACTCTCTAACAATGCCCAAAAAGACATTTTAACTTGGTTCTTTTAATAACTACAAGAAGAGAAACTATACCTTCCAGACACGTATAATGTGTTCTTTCAGATTGTAATGATCTGAGATTTTTTTTAAGAGGCAAATCTATTTGGAGCTAAAACATTCTGCCAATCAACAGTAAACTGACAGATTAGGGTGAAGTAACAACCTCAAAAACAATACTCTACCTTCTGATTTTTACATTAGAAACAATACATTTCTAAAAGGTAATAATATCATAGCTGCAAGAAAAACCTGAGACAAAAATAAGTAATGCATTTAACACTAAATTCAAAGCATTTTAAATAGCTATCAGACAGATTTAATACCATGAACTGTCGTCTTCTTGTCAACCACAAAACTCTAAAAGCAAAACTAACACATCCCTCCAGAAATAAAAAGATCAAAATCACGCTAAGATTAAGGAGAACCATTTAGCAAATTATAGATAGCAGTAAATCAATCTAAGGTGCAGTACAGACAACAACAGCCTTTTCACCAATTTCTGATGGCCCTTGGATTAGGCATTTAATGAGTTCAAATGGAATTAATGAGTTTTAAATGAATGGACAATAACAAAGATGCCATGGTTTGATATCTGAGAGGATACTTGAAATTGCTTCTGGAGCTGTGGTATCTTTGAGAATCTTCCATTCACCTAACAAACCTCTTTCATTTGTGATATAGCAGAGCATGCATATGACCCTGACATTTTACTCTTTATGACTTACTGAGATGTAACCAAAGGCAACTGAATGTATTCAGGCACAAGGGATCTGTTAAATCATTTGCTAAGAAAAAGGCTGTGTTTATAGTGATAAAAAGTGATAAAATTAATTATCCAGAGAAACCATTTGCAACTCAGAGCATGGAAATAACATGACAGCTAAGTATACTGCATAGCATCTGCCTTTGGTGACATGAAATATAGGAGAGCTACACATTCTGGTACCACTGAAACAAAAGGAAAATGCATTTATTGATACTATTCCTTAGATTTTGAACAGGTTTTCTAGCCGTTTGTTGTTACTACCTAGCATACACCTGGAAGTTTTCTCATTATTTGCCTCAATAAAACTGTAATCAGAGGAAACCCTGGAGTTCTTGAGTCTCCACTCAAACTGTAGCCATACCATGCAAGTGCAGTTCTTACAGCCATCCGTCCAGGATTCAAACTCTCTGTAAGTTGTGCCTTTCATTGTGCAAGTCCTTTCACAGTAGCACTGATCCAACTTGTTCATCCTCTGCTCAGCTTGGGACAACTGTATTTACAGTTCACAAAAAAAAAAGAATTCATTTGTAAGTGGTTTCCATATTAGTATAAACATGATTGAAACTGTCCCCCTTCATCATCAAGCATGCAGATGAGAGAATACATGTAGGAAAATGTAGCCAAAGATAATAAAATACTTATTGTCAAATACAATATGATTAAACCATCAATCATTTGCAGATGGAAATTAAGAAATAAGACACAATGCATTTCAGCTTTCTCTAACATCAGGGACATCATGAAAAAAGGGGAGTAGGTCAAGATGTGTATGCCCCCTGATTTCTCATCTTTCTATGTGTGAACTGACCAAGAATCTTACACTACATAAACTACTTGCAGATACTAGGTTACGCACAAAAAAGCTGAATCTGAGAGGCAAAATTGGACATAAATCTCAAAACCAACATGTTAGCAATTGTTTCTCCACAATCAAGGCAGTTTTAACACTTGTGTATCAAATCAGCTAGGTGACAGCATTCCTGCAGACATCTAAAGCACAGATGTTTAAAATCAGAAGACTAATCTATGTTCACCAGCAGACATGAATGCTTTTGGTGTGATATTCTAGAGAAAAAAAGAAAAGAAGAAAAAAAAAAGGGAAGAAAATGCTGCTTTGGATTTTTAATTCCTTGTCTTGCATATATTTTGTCTGAACATTCCTTTGGCAGCTCAGATCTAGAAAAGTCTTGGACCCATAAGTCTTGCTGTAGTAAGCACAGTAAGCTATTTCATTCTAGGTTTATTGACTTGTTGGCCTAACAGATAGAGCTTGAGTATCTATGAGTTCTTTCCTTGCTTAGGGATTTGGATTCTGTTTACTATTAAAAGACACGATTCTACAAAAATATTAAAACACAAGAAAGCTCTCTGAACTGGGAATTTGTATGTATGGACACTAGGTACAGATATATAAATACAAACAGATAAACATACCATGCAGGGATGTTCTGCACACACCCATGTGCATATCCCCACACATGCACAAATAATCTAAAAAGACAGCAATTAAGGCCTTAGAATCCTCATTTCTCCCATGCCATGACTTCGAGTAAATGTTACCTTAGCTGATGTTTTCGCTAAAATGTCTTGTAGTTCCATAATTTTCTGCACAAGTCCATGGAAGTCATTACAAGTTGGGCATGCTAGAAAACAAAATACATGTATTAATAAAAAACCCCATGTATTCACAATAGGTTCAATCATGTCAAAGTTGACAACCAATACACTGAAACTCTATGTTTTAAGAAAGCTTGTAGGACAGAAAGTAGGTACAAAGCACACTTTTCATTTTATGGTATAAGAATTAATAGACTTACTGCGATTAAGATCTGGGCATTGAGAAATAAATCCTTGAGGCATGACAAGTAATTGCACATCTTGCATTATACCCTATGTGTAAGTGGAGAGAAAAAAAAAAGATACATTATTTTTACCTGTCAAAATTATGTTTTCCATTCATCATGCAAAATATTAAAGCCCAAACAGAAAAACTGCCTGATAAAAACAATACCTATGAATACACAGTTTCTTACCTGCACCCAATGCAGTGATAGAAGAATAAAGAGAAAGTAAAATAGATAGCTGTATGAATACAGACATAATGAATCATTTTTAAAGACATAAGAAGCAAATCATTTTTAAAGACATAAGATTAAATGTCAAGATGCAATTATGTGGCAAGAGTTTGGTTGTTTTGAATTCATTGTTATTTTTAGTTAGCCATTGCAGAAAAGCTTGAAAATGACCTTTAAAAGTAATTTGGAAAACAGTTGCAGTTTCAGTTACTTTGAAACACTCTTTTAAATAAAATGCTAATTTTTCACTAAGCTATAACTGTCAAATAGAAGTGAAGATTAAAGAAACTTGAGTCAGGAAAAACACATTCATGCAAACCTTTTATGATTTCGATGGGGATCTTTTCATAAAGTGTTCAGAATGCCAAGAAACTGCAAGTCTGTTACATAGTCGCACGTTGGCAAGAACTTAGGGAAAGGGGAAGTTTAGCCTGAAATCCAACTATGCCATCTGGAAAGGGCCAGTTTCACCCACAAGAATAGATTCCATGCTTGCAGGCAGAATTTACACGTGTCCTTAGTCATTGAGACAATTAGCAGCCATTTTGCTGCCCTCCAAAAGCAAAGGCCAAACATCAATTTCAAAGTGAGCCAGCACTTCGCATTATCACATTCTCTCCAGATGTCCCATTCATCTGTGACTCCTTCCCTGTATCTCCAAAATTCCTTCTTAGGAGGAAAGGCAAAATAATTACAACATGCTTATGAAGAGAATGTTTCATGACACTAAGACAATACAATCTAAATGCAAAAGTCCACGTTCCATCCACATACACAGGGCATTCAATACAGATGTTGCAAAGTCAAAGAACCAGAATTTTGACCTTAAGTGAATGATGCAGGGTGACTTAACAACCTCAGTGACCTACAGAGAAGAGAAGCTGTCACTGGAAGGCAACTAAGAGGATACTTAAGTGCCATGCCTACCTTTCTCCCTTAACAACAAAGCTACAATCCAGGACAACTGGATGCTCCCTCATGCTGCACAATGAGCTGCAACAATTAGCTAACAGTGAAAAAAATAGGTGTGCTTGAGACAGAGCTCCATGTCAGGACTTCCCACAGCAAGTGTTCTGGAAGTCAGGAGCAAAGACCTCTTTCAAGAGCACACCAAAAAGTTATTATTACTGTTATTATTACTCCTCCCTTCCTTCCTCCTCCAGGTTCAAACACATGTCAACTCGAGTTATGGCATTGTAATGGCTTAACCCCAGCTGGCAACTTTAAGCATGACACAGCCACTTGCCAAAACCAGCACAGGCATTTTCATGAAAAGGAGGAATGGCAGGGTCCAACCCATTCAAATTTAAAATGTTCTTCACTCAACACAGGCAAGTATTCAAATCATTTTGCTATTAACCAACAGTAAAGCTCCTCCAACTATTTAAAGAGCTTTATTAATCATATATCAGCTGTGAGATGAGCTCACTCCGCCACTTGCCAGGAATTCAGGTTCCTTCTCATTCTCAGAAAGTAACAACAGGGAGCTGTGGCATGCAGTCCACCTGGGCTTCCAAGTCAGGACTTCCTGACAGTACGTGAGAAGCTTTTCACAGGCTCCTAAAGAACCTAGGGTTAAAATTAACACACCACTGGACAGTAGGTACTGAGAGAAGTTACAGGGTACCAGAAATGGGATTGCCAGAATTGCTCTCTCGGATTTCAGACTTTAAAGTGAAACAGGTACAAACATACAAATACAATGTGAATATGCCTACTGGGACATTGGTTTAGTGCAACAATATTAGGTTCAAAATCAAATACAGACAAACAAAATCTTTTTCAGAGTGACTAATGATTTTGAATACCTTGACCCCTCTGGACAAACCAATTAGTCCACTCAAAGCAACCTGATTTTCAGAAACAGCTAAGCACCTGGACCTCTCAAATCAGATCAGTAGGAGTTGTCCCCCAGTGAGTATGTGAAAACATAGGCTCCCCAAAACACCAAGAAACATCACAAGTCTTCATATTCTAAACTGATGAATCTCCCATACAACGGTGTCACATTTTTAGATGGAGTTTCAACAGTGATATGCTGGAGAAATCACTTAGCACAGTATATTCTGGCTATATTGATGCTCTTAACAGCTATCCATTTCTATATTTCTGTTAAGCTGGTTTATATTTGCACTTTAAGCAAAATTCTCCATGTATTTTGTTTAATTTTACCTTTCTTTAAAAGAAAGAAACAAACAAAAACCCACAGCCGATTACTGGAGTATTTCTTTTTCTCCACCTAATGAGCTTCCTCACAGTGACTATGATTTGGTAAAAAGCAGAATATAATCAAGTCAAAAACTGAGAAGGCACAAAAAATAAAAGGAATATTTTAAGAAGTATTAATTATAAGCACGTAGAATTAATAAAGTGTATCTGAGATAAGTTTAAGCAATGCATTAATATTTTCTGATTTTATTCTTGGAGTCAACTGTTTATTTAAACCAGAAATATAATTTTGCAGTTTGTTTAGCAGACACTGTCTTAGCCTTTTGGAGTAAAAGGAAATGCATATTGAATTGAAGACTAAAAACAAAGTCATACTTCAGTTTTCACATCTGAATGCCCCACTGGACCTCCATCCTTAACACACAAAAAGGATATAAATTAGTATTTAAGTATAGCAAACAGTATTTCAACACCCAAAACCTGATTTTAGCAAAAAAGCACAGAACTTGCTGTAAAAACCATAGTCAAAGTGGTTTATGCTGAAGAAAAAGATTTAGCAGGCCATATTTTACAAAGTGATTTGGTCTGTGATAAACATCAATTCTATTTTGCAGCTCAAGTAAAAAGATGCCTACAGGGAGGAAAATGGGACTGTAGTGTGGAAGGCATCCGCAGGGATGCCATCATTTGTTAAAGCAGCTCTAGAGAAGACTGAGACCAAACCACAGATAGCAGCTGTGACCAATGAGTGCTACCTAATGGTCTCAGAGAAATCAAAATTTACACTCCAGTTCAACATAGCATTCAGTTCTTCAGTCTTGCTATACACCAGGCACATGCTATACATACATATGTTAAAGCAGCAGTAGTAAGCAAAAAGCATGTACAAAGCATGTTCTTCCTCTAGGGGGAAAAGCAATCTCTTCATTAATGCTAGTCATCTCATTAATTTCTGAGCTGAGAAGATATTGTGATGAAATCTAAATCCTACAGAGGCACTGAAATTGGAGTTCCTTAGACTGTAGTGTTCTGGGACGGACAAAAAAATGCATCTAGCTATAAACCAGACGATAATCTGACCATTTACTCTCTATTCATTTCCTGGCACTCTGTTGCACTTGGCCATTTACCTTTCCCTGTCCTACACTTCTGTCGGCTGTGTCATTTGGTGACACTGAGCCCTATGCATCTGTCTCTGCAACTTTATTTAGTGAAGTCCAGTTTGATGGAAACACAGCTCCCCGCATCAGATATGCTGATACACAACACATCGTGGTCCTAAGAACTGTATAATGATTACAGAAGCACAGACTGGTTGACATCTCCTGAGTTCAGCCGCAGCAGGCTGCCCAGGACTGTGGCCAAATGGCTTTTGAATACATCCACAGCAGTCTTCCTCTGACCAACCTCACAACAGAACTATTTTCTTACGTTCATATGGCATTGCAGGTGTTTCAGTTTTTGGCCATTGCTTCTTGGCCTGTCAGTGGGCACTACTGAGAAGAGTCTAGATCTCTCATATTCATTCCCTCCCATTCAGTTATTTATACACATTGATTAGATGCTCCCTGAGACTTCTCTTCTCTAGGCGGAACAATCCAAGCTCTCTCAACTTCTCCTCGTATGGAAGATGCTCCAATCCCTTAATAATTTTTATTTAAGTTCACTCTCTTCCTTACAGAGAATGCATACCTTAAAATAACCATGTGCATTATTCCTCTGTCCCAGCCAAAAGGTTGTACCTAAAGGTAAGTCCATGAAGGGCTTCTCCACAACTCTTTCATAAATTCTGAAAAGAAAGGGAAAAATAAAGTCCCAAGTTATCATTTCATTTACTTAGAGCTGGAATGTTCCAAATGTAACAACTTCTTATAAAACAATACTCTTTGCTTACCTATTGCAGTCCACATGTAAAATCAAGTGAGAGGCACTGATCGCTAGGGAAAGCTTGTGCCATTTATCATCTGCCAAAATGTATGGGAATACTTCTGTGTGGGAGCGATGACTGCCTGAACGATAATGCAACCTGATTTCATTTCGATGACCGCTGCTTTCCAGCTCCAGGTACCTGCACCATAAATGCATGACTGTGTCATGAACCATTCTGACCAGCACAGCAACATTTTACATAATACAATTTCTCATTATCATACAGGAACTATTTAAAAGAGGGGGAAAGACAAGTAAGAAGATACAAAGATCGAAGTAGACACTTTCCAAATTTGCAATGCATCCTTCTCCTCAATAAGACATAATAGGTTCCAACTTTCATGTAAGTACACAAGATTCCAAGCCAAGTATTTTTTCCCACTCTATTAACACTATTTTCCATAACATGATCTGATTGGAAATATAATTACCCTATTATGAATAAATGCCCCATATCTTGAAAGCACAGTAAGGACACTCTGAAGGCATGAATGCAGGAAAGACAACACCAAGTGTTGCAATAGGAACATCTTTAGCCATTAGCAACCAGGGAAGTAAGCAAGAACTGAGACTGGACACGGCTTTGTTTGCTTTCAGATGTACTGTTAACATCTCCTTTCATTTTTTGTAAGGAAATTTCTCCAAAGAAACACAAAATCAATAAGCTCTAACTCTTCAGAACAATTTATGTATGTATACATATTTGCTTTGTTAAATAAGTATGCATATTTCTGGTGCGTGTATATTTATATATACACACGTATGTATATACATGGTGATAAAGCAGCATTGCAGCTGCACCAATATAACTGTCCCATATACCAGATTTGCAGATTGCAAACACAAGGTTTGCTGATGAAATTTCAGCAGATCAATGTAAAAAGCACCCCACAACCAAACTTGGTACTTAGTCAGACAGGCCTATTTCTTGAATATCAGACCTCTTGTGCGAACAAGCTTGACAAACCATTTGTCTCCTAAGTTTCTCATTTTAAAGTCTCTCCCTAAAATGCTTTTAAAAGAGGAAAGAAAACAGAAATGGGGATTCTCTAAAAATCATATGCAACCTACAGCTAAATAGCAAGGAAAATAACATAGTATGTGGTGAGATGCACAAGTGGGAGAATGGACAATTCAGTTTTGCCTATTTTTCCTGCTACATCTGCAATCAGGCACGACAGTGGTTTGTAATCTGAGTGCACACATGTTTTAGGATGATGTTGTTTACTTTAACAGGCTATCTATATTAAAGAACAGACAAGACAATGATTGCAGTTTTCAAGACTGAAGATGAGACCAAATCAAAACCATCTTGTACAATCATTATTCCTAGGAGAAGGTTGGGGTCACTGGTACATCTCTCCTTCCTTCAGGCTGTTTCACAGTGGAACGTGCCTAGCAACAGCACAAAAACAATTATCCTTTTGCAAAATTGGTAAAGGGCAATTTCTTCTTCCTCCCCCGTATTAACAAAGCAGTTAACTAGAGTCAGCAATAAATTTTATAATCTGAGATAATTTACCTCCCCATTGCCCAAAAATAATTTTTGCATTGGCAAGAAGTGTAAACTAATTGAAGGCCTGGCTGGAAAAAAATTGGGCAACAGTGGCAGCACATCAGTCAACTTAATAACCTCATTCATAACTCAAGCTTCAAGGATAAAAATAAGGTCACTCTCAACCTAACAGAGAAGGGGAACATTATGGAACTGTACTTCTCCAGCAACTTTTAACTGTCTCTACCCAGCTGCAGATGCAATCTGGAAAAAGAAAGGGATGGATATGTTGAAACATTATCTCCTGGTACAGCCAACAGCCAGTTCCTACTCTCTTCAAAGTCAATGGCAGAACTGATGCCAGCACACAGAGATGCAGGCAAGCAGGGAACAAACTAAAACAATAGACATACAGTCAGTACAGAAGGTATAAAATGAACACTCATGTTGCCCCTTACACAGGTTAGATAATGAAATCTCCAAGAATGAAACATATTCCCAATAAAAAGAAAACATTGCTGTAAAAAATTCAGGAATTAAGAACTGCTGAGAGAGGATGATGACATTCAACAATGCTGCAATAAGCAAGGAAATCCTCCCACACAAAGCTGTGCAAAAATTGTGGACACTTGATGTTTCATTTTAGCTGTGATTAACGCACTGTTTCGAGATCTACAGGCAATCTCTTGTTCTTCCCTTTGGTAAACTAACAAACACATCTACCTTCTAAAGGCTTGATGATTGTTAGAGAAAATGTGCATCAAAATGATAAAGAAAATAATAGCCATTAGGAGAATTATTAGGAGAATAATTTATGGTTTACTAATAATCTGTAGAGGCAGCAGGAGACACAATTAGAAAAGTAAGTGGAATAACAGCCAGAACAATATTCCCTTTAGCTTGAACTAATACCGTGACACTGAAACACACAGAAGTGAAAGTTAATGACTTTCACTTCAGTTTTTTTCCACAAAATACTGTGTTTGCTATGCCATTTTTCTAGATTTGTTTAACTGCCTGGACGTAAGTGGCTCTTGCTCAGTCTCATGAGCTTCAGAAGACAGGACAAGCCTCAGAATTGACAAACAGGTATGGATGGAAATGCAAAGTCTGTCCACAGTGAGGCTTCTTGTGTCATTTGTGAGACTAGCGCTTGGGTACCTGCTTTCCAAAGGTTTGGAAAAGCCTTTGAGAAAGTAAGCTAAGTATTAACAAATACACCTGGATTTTAAAAAAAATCATTTATTGTGACAAAAATACTCTACACTTCTCTGTATGTTCAGGATTACTAATCTTTTGAGAGAGAAAAGAGGGTTCCTAAAGGACTTATTCTCAAAGGAAACAATAGCTGCATCATACTGCAGTCTTCTCTTAACCAAGAACCTCATTACTGAAAAGTTTCAGGGCAACCTCACCACCTAAGTTACTGGTTTCTTGTCCACACCAGCCCAGCCATCACAGGGAGAGTGTCAGCTCCAGAATTCCCATTGCTGAGGTCACTACTGCTTCCCACAACAGCTACTAGGCATTCTTCTATGCTGCAAAAGGCAAACAGCTCTTGGAGTGAAAAACAAACCACAATGAGAAACGCAGTACAACAGCAGAACCTGCTTCCTCCTTTACAAACATCCATGCTCTGTGGTTGTTTAATCAATACTAGTCTACTAGATTTTAACCTCCAAAAAACCACACATGCTTTGGGTCAAATGGATTTAACTTAGTCAGGAGATGATACGTGCTTAGGGTTACTATGTTTGACATACAGAGAAGAAAACGCCAACCTCAAAAAAGGTTGTTACATCTCTGCAGATCACTCTGTGCATGCACAATTACTACAAAGGCAACAGCCAAGGCCAACATAAAATGAGTTGCTCTGCTTGGAAACCAGCCAGACAGTGATCCCTTATGTACTGACTAAGGCTGTCTATCTTCGTAAGAGGAAGAAATCTGTCTTAAATGCCCCAGAGGAATTTGAGACAGAAAACAATAATGTTTTCTCTGTTGTTCAGCACCAATCCATCGTAACTGCCAGGTAAGAGTTGAGAGTCAGAAGATCTGCTCAGCTGCAGAGCTGCAACTGCCCATCCCAGAAAAGGTCATGTGGTCTGCATGAGCCTGTGCAGGACCTGCTCTTCAGACTGTGACAAACCAGCATGGGGGAAGACTGCAAGGACAAGTCAGGTTGTACAGGAAAAAGCTACAGATTTAGGAGGTGAAACACCAGGTGGTCCTGGTGTACATAGTAGCAGTTTCTGAGAAAAGGGAGGTATGGCCCTTCCAGCTAAAAGCCAGTGTTCGTAACTTCAAGTCTTTGATGGCTCACTTGTTCATTTGGCAGCACTGCTCATACAGCAAATGCACACTGTAGCTGCCCACTCTTACTGCAGGCAACTAATAATTTCAACTTCAATTTACAGCATGTAGGCAAATATTTTAGAAGCTAAAGGCAAGATATCATGCTTGCTGCTTATGAATTTATTAGAGTGTTGCTCTTTTTAAAAATTTTACTACTCACATTTGTAGGTATAGTGTTAGAAAGAGTTCTTCATGTCTCTTTGATCTACACTAAGAAAAGGAAAAACAATAAAATTAAAAAGGAGTATGTACTTAAATTATCCTTTGTATGGATTAAGTATGTTCTTATCTCCGTCACTTACGAAAATCTTTATCTGAAGATTTTTGGTACAGAAGTTCTGGCTTTTTTTGTCAGATATAACTACACAAAAAAAAAGAAGAGCTCCTACTCAGTAGACCTTATTCATTGCAAACTATGGCTACAACAGCAGTAAGCAATTCTGCTGGGTGTAGATTATGAAGATGTAAAAGCAATTCACACTGCACAGTCACCATATTGAGCAATGCATTACTTGCTATTTTACATGGTATGATGACTAGGCAGTCAGGAACGTGAGCCTTATTTTTCTATTTGGAAGCAACACAAAGTGTTCTGAAACATTAATTATGAGTTTTTACTGCTTGGTGCATCCCCTAGAACAATATGGCATCAAAATATTCCCAGATTGATTCTAAATGCCAAGTAGCAACTGCACTATACCTGTAAAAACCTAGTCCTCACCTCTAACTTACACTACTGCTTGGCCTTACTGACTTTGTCCTTTTTCCTGTCTGTCTAGAGCTCTACCTAGGTACAAGATGACTGGTGGTTTTGCCAGGAAGTGATAAATTTTTTTTAAAAAAAAAAAGTGGTCTTTACTTTTCTGGATTAGGTGGTAGCAGTTAGTGCAAGTGCACAATGGGTAGGAAAGCCACCAAGTTAGTTTCTGTCCCTTAAAGCCAGATAAGAGTTTTCTGATATAGGATATTCTTGTTCAAAAATGCTGATCCATTCACTAAAATAAAATCTTTTGATAGAAACAAACATTCTCACAGTAAGGTTTGTAGGGTCCAGGATGAAATGCTTGTTAAAATGAGAGACACAGCGAGCAAATCCAAGACTCTCTGAAAGACTTCCTCAAATACTTTTTAATGTCGCAGCTATTACCTATTTGAAAGCAGAGATCCCAAGTGAAGAAAGGTCAAAATTAGAAGAGGGTATTTCCAATACTGAAGCAGAGTGCACAAACAATGGGACAGTAAACCAGTCCCTCAGGTTGACTTGATGAGGCTCTCTCCATTTCACAAAA